ACTACAGGCATGCGCTACCATGCCCGGCTAATTTTTGATTTATTGTAGAGATAAGGTCTCACCAAGTTGCCCCGGCAGGTCTTGAACCTGCGGGCTCAGGCAATCCACTCACCTTGGCCTCCCAAAGTGCTGGGATTGCAGGCTGAGCCACCGAGCCCGGCCTATTTTTTTATCTGAAACTGAACTTTATTTTATCTGGCAATCCTACCCACTCCCTCCAATACACACATATACACACATACAACTCCCATTTAGCTTTCTAATGCCTTGCTTTTACACACAAACAGATAACAAAGGTTCATAGTACATTTAATAAGGATCCAGTATGAAAGGCAGGGCCAAAATAAATGGAAAAAAGTGGAATTTAGAGAAAACAGAAGAAGAAGGAGAAAAAGAAAACAAAAAACTATTGCCAGTATTCTCAGAGAACTAAGATATTACATCTATAAAACAAGAACAGGATACTTTAAAAAATAATAATAGGAGCAGCCATGAAGAGAAAAAGAGCTTTTGTTAACTATGTGCATGTATTACTTTTATAATTAATTTTAATTAATTTTATTTATTAATATTAATAAATTTTAATTGATTTAAAAGTATACGGGGTGCCAAAAAAATGCATACACATTTTTAAGTATAACGCTCACTCAAAAGGTGGCATTAAATGAATGCTGGCTTCACCATGCGGCAGGCAGGACAGTCAAAGAAAATGGCAGAAGCATGACTGAGTGAACGTCATACTACATATTCCTACCATAATTTAATTCAACTTCAAAAAGTAATACGTAGATAACATCGCTTAAAATGAGTATACACTTTTTTGGCACCTTCTGTATTTACAAAATAAAAATTCCAGCTCTGCTGCTAACTAGCTGTGTGCCATCACACAAATTATTTACTTCTCTGAACCTCATTTCCTTGTGTATAAAATGGAGATAACAATATCTACCTTATGTCTTATAAATGTATGTTTTAAATGTCTTATGAATGGTGACATCTATGAGTTCATTTGCCTTATAGCCTATTAATTTTGCTTGTTTTGTGACCATCATGTTGACTTAACTGTCAAGATTTTCTGTCTTTTTCTGGATAGATGCTTCTTGATTTGAGATTTATGGAAAGCCTGTATCCTCTTAATGTTATTTCCTTTCCCTGACACTTACAGAATTTTGTGTTATTTTTTTTCAAAGTAGAAACATTTTCCCAAGCCATGTTTTCAAGTAACTTCTAAAGAGAAAAAAATCTCAGCACTCAGAGTTCATTTATCAAGTCCTGTTAGGGATGTGACGAATCGCTGAGTGACCGCTGGCATGCAGTCAAGGAAGTTGGTTGCAACTCGTTTTCTCATTACTCTGTTCTTATCTTAATGCTGCAGCCTCTACTAATGTTTGCTGACTCCCAAAGAAGCTGGCTTGTTCTCTTTTCATCAGCATTATTGTTTTTTGAGACTCTGAATAGCTGTTCATTTTCT